GAGATCATGGTGGTTATGGCTGCACAACAATGTGAATATGCTTGATGCCAACAAACTGTACACTTAAAAATGGTTAAAGTGGTGAGTTTTATGGTATATATATCGTACCATAATTTAAGAAATTTAGTTTAAAAAACTGTCATATGCCGAAACCGGTTTGGCTCAGTGGATAGAGCGTCGGCCTGCGGACTGAGGGGTCCCGGGTTCGATTCCGGTCAAGGGCATGTACCTGGGTTGCAGGCACATCCCCAGTGGGGGATGTGCAGAAGGCGGCTGATCGATGTTTCTCTCTCATCGATGTTTCTGACTCTCTGTCTCTCTCCCTTCCTCTCTGTAAAAAATCAATAAAATATATTTTTTAAAAAAAACTGTCATAGCCCTACCCGGTTTGGCTCAGTGGATAGAGCATCGGCCTACGGACTGAAGGGTCCCAGGTTTGGTTCCGGTCAAGGGCATGTACCTTGGTTGCGGGCACATCCCCAGTAGAGGTGTGCAGGAGGCAGCTGATCGATGTTTCTGTCTAATCAATGTTTCTAACTTTCTATCCCTCTCTCTTCCTCTCTGTAAAAAAATAAATAAAATATAAAAAAAACTGTCATAAAAAATGCACGGCCTTGGCTGGGTTGGTGGTCTGAGGGACACAGAAATCTGGCCGTAGTGGGTCCCAGCGTGGTCACAGGTGCTAACGGTAAAGGCACTTAGGGACAACCTCTGGGCTGGGGCAAGTGGATGAGCCGGTCTTATTTTTAGGTAAAATGTCTCTGAAGTGGCCCAGGACACAGCTGTGGGGAACATCCACACTCAATGATTGACAGGCAGGGGAGCTGAGCCTTGGAGCCCAGGACTGATCTGTTTAGGAGAACAACCCACATAGTGCAGCTTTCGCACCCTCCACTCGGCCCGCTTCATGTCCCAGAGTCTGACCCAAATGCCAGGGTAAGAGCTGTGTCCTGTCTGCACTCATCAGACCAAGCAAATCGGGTCTTTTTGTTAAATGATATGAACAAGAAAATCTCAAATGTTTCGCAGGTTTTTCGCTAAGAAATACTGTGTGTCTGAGAGCAGAGGCCCTGGGGAGACTGTGGCACATTCACAACTCCGGAATAACCCCGTAGGACGAGGCCCCGGCAGACACTGCACGTCCCACTCTACTCAGATGTTAGGACAGTGGGACCAGGCACTTCTCTGTGGAGCCGCACAGAAATTGAAACGACAAATAGCACAGTCTGTTTAGTTCCCGGAGACACTGTGCCGGACGCCTATGTTGACGGGTCAGCTTCCCATTCTTTAGAAGTACATCGGGGTCCAGGGATGGGTTGCTGATAATGGGCTTCGGGATGATTTGTGGTCATCGTCTCTGGCTGGACCATTTAAAGCGGCCACCGCAGCTGCAGTGCGGCATGAGCTGGGATTTCTTGTTCAGAAAACTCAGCACAAGGGTCTAAATCACACTGTGAAGTCACTGCCCTGGTGTTTGCATCTCTGTGTCAGGAAAGTGATCTGAACCATTGAAATAAAGCAACAAGCCCAGCCAGAGTGGGGCTCAGTTGGTTGAGCATCGTCCCATTCACCGAAAGGTTGCCGGTTCGTTCCCGGTCATAGCACATACCTGGGTTGCAGGTTTCACCTCTCTCTCTCTCTGTGTCTCTCTTTCCCTCTGTCTCTTGTTCTCCTTTCCTCTCTCTAAGAATGTCCTTGGCTGAGGATTAGAAAAGAAGATGGAAGGGAAGGGAAGGGAAGGGAAGGGAAGGGAAGGGAAGGGAAGGGAAGGGAAGGGAAGGGAAGGGAAGAAGGTAACAACTTGGATGGCACCTTTCCATTTAAGGATCATCAGGAACTTAATTTTGCATCTAACAGCCACCAGGTCCTGACTGCCTGGGGTCATCTCGCTTCCCAATAGTTTTTAGGCTGGTTTTAACATCTCACTGCTTCCCTCTCGAGTAGAACTGTATTTTCATGAGCACCGTGGCCTTTCCTTTCTGAATGATGCCTTCATGGTTGAAGTGTTGGAACGAGAGAGCAGTCAGGCTTCACTCTCTCCGTCCACGTAACCAGTTGTCCCAGATACATCTGTGTAAAGGACTTCCTTCCCCCACTGGCCTGAGCCAGCGCCTCCACTGAAGACTGCCTGTCTGTCCATACACCATGCAGCCTTAGTTACCATGGCCTTCGAGTCAGTCGGGAAGGCAGTCAGCATAAGTCCTACAGTTTGGTTCTTTACCAAGATTGCTTTGGCGAGTCTGGACCCTTTGTATTTCCATATAAATTTTAGAATTAGCCTGTCAATTTCTACAAAAAAGAAAAACTCTACTGTGATAGGATTGGGATTGCTTTATATCTATAGATTAATTTAGAGGGACTTTCCATCAGGAACTTGCATATCTCAGTGTGCTTACATCTCCTCTCTGCACTGTCATTGCTTTCAGCATGTAGGTCTTGCACATGTCTTATTAGATTTTTTCCTATTTATTTTTTAAAATCTTTATTTCATCTGGGCCTGAAGTCGTCTTTGTGGGATAGTTTTGATTACAACTTCAATTTGTTCAATAGATATTGGGCTATTTAGATTTTCTAGTTCTTTTTATATGACTTTTCTTAGTGTTTTTCAAGAAATGTGTTCATTTCATTTAAATTGCTTACTTCATTGAATATCAGTCTTACTATTCTTGTAATATTTGTAGAATCTGTAATAATGTAGTCTTTAAAATTCCTGGTGTCAGTAATTTGTGTTTTCCTTGATCAAGCTTGCTAGGGGTTTACAATTTTATTAATCTTTCGAAGGACCAAAGTTTTATTTTATTGATGACCTTTACTATTTGACTGCTTTAGAAAAATTTCCTTGATTTTTACTCTTATTCTTACTTTTCTTTCCTTCTACTTACCATGGATTTCATTGGCTTTGTTCCCTAGTTTCTTGAGGGAAGGTTCTATACTTTTCCTTTTGAAACAGTCATTTTAGGCTCACTGGGACTTCATGTTGCCTTTCTGCTTATAAATAACTTGAAGTTTACCAGTCTCCTGTGTCCTCATCAAGTCGAGGGCATGGGTTGTTCAGCTTTGCTTGTTCCTGTTGCTCTCCATCATGTTTTAGATGTGTGGGGATTGGATCTCTGTGTCTGCCATTATCCTAGGCTGCCTAGAAATATCCAGTATCAGTAATTTAAATGCTCTTAGAAGTTTATAAACCCCAATGGGAAAATTAGCACATGACCTACATGGACAGTTTACTGAAGAAGAAATACAAGTTACCGATAACTGTATGAAATGTTTTCAATCTCATTGATAATGAAAGAAATGAAAATCCTAGTAATGGTAAAATAATTTATCACTCAGCAAATTGGCAAAGGTTTAAAAAAGAAAATTAAAAAAGAGAAAATACCCAGATTGTCAAGAATTAAGAGAAGTATTATGATATACTGTGGATGGCCACACACTTAATGAGTGTTAATTTAAGTCTCTAAATGTCTGTGTTTTAAAGATACAAGTTGAAATATTTATGAACTCCACTGACTGGGTGTCTCAACCTCCCTCACCTCCAGCTTCTGTGCTGGCAGAATGGAGTCACAACTGTTCCTGCCTCATGGAGGCGAAGTGAAATTAAATGAGACATTCCACATAGGATGCCTGACACCCATGGGTACCCACACAGTGTGTGCTGTCCTTACTTTATCATGGTGATGGCGATGATGAAGGAGAAGATGATAGATAGATGGTAGGTAGATGATTGATAAATAACTAGATTATAGATAGATAGATAGATAGATAGATAGATAGATAGATAGATAGATAGATGATAGAATGCTCACTGGTCATGCAGTTAGGTCCTATGTGCATCTTCACTAGTGACGGCTCTGGAAGCCACTGCAGGATGGTTGAGAGGGCTTGCTTTGCAAATGGAGACTTTAAGTCAAGTACAACAGCCACATCCCTACTTTTCTACACACACACAAAGTCCACAATAATTATAGATATAACAGATTTAATCAAAAGCATTGTGAATAACAAACACAAGCTAATTTAAAATCAAGATGAAGTGTATGCATTGTTACAAAAAATGAAGTGTATGCATTGTTACAAAATATTTTAAGATGCCGAAACTTATATTTAAATAATTTAAGCCTGAATATGCTAACAGCCATTAAATAAGTGAGATAGTACTAAGATCTACCCATTTTCACTTACCATCTCCCCAGAATACACCCAAACTGGAGGATCTAAGAGGTGAGGTGAACCAAACCCTCACGGAACACATGAACCCCGTCTTACATAAGTGGGTCCAGAAAAATGAAAGCTGGGGGAGGGGACCGACTCATGCCTGATGATTATATGTACTTGACCCCCAAATTAGAGAAGCGTACAGTCTGGCTTTTCCTTAAATATGGCATGCATTTATGAAAAACTCCCCAGTGAAATGAATCAATTCATAGCATATAAAGTTACGATCAGATATGTTTACCCCATGTGTGCCAGTGATTCTTCATCGGGAAATCTGTTCCTGTAAGTCACCACATTAATAGACTAACAAAAATGTATGCGGTTATTTCAGTAGATATAGAAATAGCACTTGATGGAGTTCAACGCTTTTTCATGATAAAACCCTTTAGGAAAACCAGAACACAGTAAAGAAGAAGGTGAATGCGTGAGGAAGTCACACAGGTGAAATGAAAGGCTTGTGTTTAGTTTCAGGTACTGATGGGGTGTCATCTTGTCCTGATGATGTTTACTTTTTATAAAGCAAATTTGTAATCATCGCAAGAACAGGAACCCAAGTCTTGAGCCTCATAAACCATGACCAAGTGCCCATGTCATCTGCTAACTGGGGACCTGTTGCAAAATGATCATAAATAAATGGAAAGGAAGCATTTCTGGGGGTTATGAATGCAGACTACAAAGCAGGGGAGAAAAGGTTGAAAGCTCAAGCAAAATGATGCTTGTACTTTTTCATTTCGAGTGATTGGATGAGTGTATCTAGAGGCCAACTCCATTTTTATTTCTTCCAGTCCCTGGACGGCTTTGCTCTGGTGGTGAGTGCGGAAGGGGTGATATTTTATGCATCAGCAACGATCGCGGACTACCTGGGCTTCCACCAGGTGAGCAAACCCTCCCTCTGCCGTGTGATAGGTCCCGTTAACCTGTGGATGCTCATTGTCTTCAAGGTTTAAACATCTCCAAAGTCTGCTTTTCTTATCACAGAGGTTTTAGCAGGTAAGCATTTCCACACCTCAGCTTCGTCTGGGGCTCAGTCACGGCAAGAGGTGTGACGTGTCCAGGGTGTCCCAAATCTAAAGAGCAGCAATGGTGCTGACTCTGGCACAGCCCCCACACTTGTCATGCTCTGGCGAGTCCTTGCCAGCAGCATGGATGCCTTAAACACCAGGACAAAGTGTGTTCTGGAAACGCCCTCTTGGATGCGCAGATAATCCACTTGGAACGTTGCCGCAGACCAGCCGGGGGTGGTTCCAGACATTGGGGCCAAGAGCTGCAGCTGAGGTCCATCAAATGCTGGGACCCAGAAGGGCGGCTCCTCTAAGAAAAGGTGCAATGAGAAGTCCCACCCAAAACCCAGGAAAGGAAAAGGACACTTCTCTGTGACACTCCTGAGAGGCATCCCCACACCAGCCCCACTACAGGGGAGGCTGCCTGGAGTGTTTCTCCCCTTGGCTGCCCTCAGCAGTGTGTGACATACACCATGCCCAGATCCTGAGATGAGTCTCTCATTCCTAGAACAATACAAGCACCAGGCGTGGCCAGCTTAGCCCTGGTGCTCTCCCCGTCCCCTGTCCCCTCCTGTACATCGCAGAAGCTCTGGGGTGCCTCATTTACACAGTGCTGTTCACCCCAGTAGATTGGTGGGCACGGCTGGGGTTAATGGCTCCCTCGCTGGTGGACAGGGCAAGAATATGGACACGACTTGATTCCAGCCCCCAGGTGGTGAAGTTTTAATGGACTTCCCTCAATTGCCTGCGCAGGGCTGAGTCTAGAGAGACGCTGTTTGGTTTGCCTTTTCGTGCTGTCACCAAGAGTTGCCCCGTGAATTCTTTAGCCGTTATTCGGAGGTCTTAGCGCAGACGTTGGCTCGGTGATCAAGGCAGGGGTCCTGTAGAGCAGCCTTGGTTCCAGGTCCGAACTTGTCATTGGACCTTTGTTTTATTGGAGCTTGGTTATTTCCCTCCAAGAGTTAGAAGTAAAAAAAAAAAAAGTTTTGCCTTTTATTATAAGGAAATTGTTTCCAAATGCCATTAAATCAGGCATCGACTCTAATTTATGCAAAATATTTCATAAAAATCTGAGAACAGCTTTGTGCTATTGTGAGCTCCTTGTGCAAAATGATTTATAAAGTCAGGAGCCAGATTCTTCCTATCATAGCCTGAGCCCATTGTCTGTCTCAGGCCCAGCACTTTTTGTGGTGAATACATAGGTTTAGGCATATATTTCAGTCACCATTTTTTGATTGAAGAAGTTGTCTGTCCTCGCGCAGGGCAGCAGTGGGGAGGCTGTCCCCATGTGAGCCACGGCGCCTGTGGAGCGTGTTGACTTTGCATGAAAAAGTAAAGATGATAACTGCTGGCATGAGGATTTTGTTCAAGTAATGCTTTTATTCTTAACTCCATAATGCTGGTTTAGAGCTAAAATAATGGCTGCTTTTACTTGATCAAAGCCATGTTTTTGTCTATTTGAATAATTGTTATATTATTCTCTGCCTTCCTCGCATTTTTCCCACCATTTACTCCTCTTGACCTCACTTCCTAGGAATCAAGCTCTAGGAGATTAAGAAAGAAGAAGGGTGGTCAGACGTGCCACACTAATTATTACAATACAGATCCTTGTTTCCTCAAACTGAAAAAATTCACGTTTAATGTCTTCAAATTGGCCTTAGTCAGGAATGCCTTTTCCGGTTTTATTATGCCCTCCTCTAAGTTCATCTGTCCCCTGTTTTGGTTGAGCCGCAGACTCATACCTTGCATGGTAATTCCACACATTCCTTTCGTTAATAATTACGGTGTGATGATGACGAACGGCACCCAGGGAGAACTGTGGGCAGCCCACTGCCTTCTGGGTTCTGTAAAGCTTGGGGTCACCGACTAAAACTCATGAGGGAATAATGTGAACCACAGGGAGAACCATGACTGCTCAGCGCTCAGAGGTCAGCATACTCTTTTCCTTAAACAAAGCCATAGAGGGGAAAACGCCATCTATCTGCAACAGGATGGAAAAACACCCAATTCTCAGTAAGGACTCAACCACACAGAGAACATAAAACAATCTTTAAAGAAATTAAAGAAGATCCAGATAAATTAAGGGATAGGCCATATTCATGAATTGGAGGACCCAATCTATATATATAAAAGGCTAAGTGACCAACTTTCCGTCTATCTGACCATCTGACCGATTGACCGGCCAGTACATATGACACACACTGGCAATTTAAAAATAAACGTTGACTTGTGCATGCACGATACATATAAAGCTCTCACTGGTGCCAATCGCACTCGTGTGTTTCGATCTGTCATTGTAGATTGTGAATTTGGTTGACACTTCTATTATAGAGAAAGGGCGAATAGCAATATTAAAATATTTATTCTAATTAATTTCCTTTCAATGTGTACGAATTCGTGCACCAGGCCACTCGTATTATCATAAAGATGTCAGATCAAGTTATAGAATTAATGACATTACCACAAAAACTGAGCAGCTCTTCTGGAAATTGGCAAGCTAATTGGAGGTGCAGAAAGCTAAGGTGATCTGAGCAGGTTAAAGGAGTGGGAGGGACTCAGGGGGACCTATGATTCTGGACACAAGACTTCCTACTAAACTCAGCAGTTAAGATAGTATGGCCTCAGTGCAGGGACAGACAAATGGACCCACAGGGGAACTGGCCGTCAGAGGAGACGGATATGCACAAATGATAAAGGTAGTCCTGCCGATGGTGGGGAAATGGTCAATAAATGGAGCTGGGTAAACGGGATCTACTGGCAGGAAAACGAATCTTGATTCTTGCCTCACACTGTACATAATACATATTAGGTGGATGGTAGAAGTTTCTAGGAGATAACAGAGCAGAAGTAGGAGATCTATAAGGAAAGATTCCTTAGGACAAAACCCCATTCCTGAGGAAAGATTGATGAATTCAACTGTGTTAGATCCATTAAGAGAGCGGGAAGGCAGGCCAGGGAGTGGAGATGTTTGCAATGGAACACGCCCAACAAAGTCCTCGTGACCAGAACAGACAGAGAACGCTGACAAGTCAGCACGATGGCTCCATGGAAAATGGAGAAAAAGACACAAATGGGCAACACGCACGCACACACATAACACGTGTACACACACAGTCACATCTAAAGACCAATAAATCTGTGAGATGCTCCATTTCCTTAGATTTCATGATGTGCAAATTGAAACCACACTAAGAAACCATGACACATTTGCCACAGAGGCTCAAACGAGAAGGGCTGAAGTGCCGAACGTCGGCGAGAATGAAAAGCAACTGGACTCTTGCACTCGCCACAACGAGGGCGTGACTTGTGCACTCACTTTGAAAAGCTGTTTGGCATCATCTCCTGAAGCTGAACTTTGGCTACCATGCCCGAGTAATTCCACTCCTGGGTGTGCTCTCAGAGACGCAGCCGCGTCACGCCAACGGGCCCAGACAGGGTACAGCCCGAGTGTCCGCCAGCAGGAGAGGGGATTAGCCAGAGGTGGGGTACCCATGCAGCAAAACTCACACAACGATGGGGGTGAAAACTGCGACACGCACACACGTGGGTGAATGGACAGGCACCAAGGAGCACAGCACACAGCGCTCCACCTACGTGCAGGCCAGCGTGACCGCCCCCGGGAGGGAGAGGGGGAGAGGCCCACAAGGCGCTGTGGGTGTCCTGCTTGCTGACTGGGTGCTCGTTACACGGGAACTCAGCGCGCTGTATATTTATGATATGGGTACTTTCCAGCCTAGATGTTACACTGGAATCGCACAAGTGTATTAGGAAAACGTCCCTGTGGGTAGTGCACTTGCCATCATAGAGCCCCAGGTAAGGTGAGAGCCATCAGGTGAGCTGGAAGCCACCAGGTGAGACAAGAACCTCCGGGTGAGGTGGGAGCTGCCAGGTGAGGTGCGAGCCAGCAGGTGCATCCCCTTCCACCAGGACCTGGTCTCTGCCTGTTGGTCCCACATTCATGTCCAGACCCCCTGACCCTGGACAACACTGACCAAGGGCAGCACCACTTCTGACCTCTGTGTCCCCTTCTCTCTGTGAAAGCAGTCTGTTTGGACTGTGGGGTGCACAAAGGTTGGAGTCCAACTTTGAGTTACAGCCACATTCCTGCTCTGCCTCTCTGAGGATGTCTTATTTGACATTTGGGGCATCCCAGCCGGCCTTCGCCAGAGTTACAGGTAGGAGAAGTCGTGGGAGATGTGTACAGGCCCTCGTCATTTATCAACAGACTTTGAGGACGTTTTCACCGACAGTAGCCACAGTCTTCGTGGCCCATGGTTGTGGCCTCTGTGCCCCAGACAGTGGCTTCCCAGTGTGGATCTGGGGCCGCAAGGGTCGGCCTCTGTGCCGAGCAAAGGGAGGACAGAGGACCAGAGAGACGGCTGTGGACGGTGCATCCATGGGGCATCCTGGAAGGGGGTGGCGTGGCCTGGAGGTGCCAGGAAGAAGGAAGTCACTGGCCAGGAGGCACTGGTGCTCCTACCTCACCCCCAGGGGTGATTTCCTAATAAACTTCTGGCTGCAAAGTGCCCAAATCACACAGCTGATGAGTTCCCTGAGTCCCCGAGGGTTGGAACCAATTTAGAAAAGTGGGATCTTGGCTCTAGAAGACGTTTGGTCTGAGCCTCCCGCTCTGCCCCCGAAGTCACCGCCTGGCAGGCGGGTGGAGATTGGGGGGCTCCGTGTTCCAGGTGGCATGGCCCGTCCTCCCAGGGAGGGAATGGCCTCGAGGCCACACTCCAGTCTTTCCTGTGGACTTTCTCTTCACAGATAGGGCTTGCTCCAGAGAGTTGGATGAGGTGTTTGTGAGATAGTCAGCACTGGGGGCCGTGTGAAACCCCCCTGGGGTACCCCTTCACGGGGGGGGGGGCTGGGGGCCTTGTGAAAACCCCTGGGGTACCTGTTCACTGGGGGCCGTGTACAACCCCTGGGGTAAGGCTGGGGTACCTGTTCACTGGGGGTCGTGTGAAAACCCTGGGATACCTGTTCACTGGGGGCCGTGTGAAAACCCTGGGGTACCTGTTCACTGGGGGCCGTGTGCAAACCCCCTGGGGTACCTGTTCACTGGGGCCGTGTGCAAACCCCCTGGGGTACCTGTTCACTGGGGGCCGTGTGAAAACCCTGGGGTACCTGTTCACTGGGAGCCGAGTGAAAAACCCCCTGGGGTAAGGCTGGGGTACCTGTTCTGATGTTTCAGACGGACGTGATGCACCAGAACATTTATGACTACATCCACGTGGACGACCGCCAGGACTTCTGCCGGCAGCTCCACTGGGCTATGGACCCTCCCCAGGTGGTGTGTGGGCAGCCCCTGCGCTCGGAGACAGGTGGGTCTCACCGAGCCTGGGAGCCCGGCTTGTCAACACGTGGACTGCCCAGGAGACTGCCCCCGACCTCCATCCCCTTCCCTTCACATCGATGCAGCGTCCCCTCTTCCAGAGACCACTCCCGAGTTCCTCTTGCCCCTCCAGACGGCCCACAGGGCTCCGGGGCTCCTGAGCATGATGGTGTCTCTGCCCCTCTCTGGGCTCTGCCAGGGCCTGGGAACCCCTCCCCAAAAGCTGCGGTCCTTGTCTTTCCCCAGGGGCGCGGTCTTCCAGGAAATTCCTTTGGCCCCATTTGATTTACTTAAAAAAGAAAGGCCCCAGAGATTGTTGGCTGCTCACAGATGTGCCCCTTGCGGGCTGGACCCCCTCCTGGCAAAGCCCCACCCGACCCAGACCGAGGCCCCTGCCCACTCAGGACACGTTGGGCAGGCGTCCAGCTCCTGTGGAGGTGGCAGGGCAGACTGGCGCGCAGGGGAAGCGCACCCGGGCACGAGGAGACAGGGTGCCTCCCCCTGGGGCCCAGAACGGGGGAGTGAGTCCCAGTCTCCCCAGAAGTTGTAAACGGTTCAAGAAAAGTTTCCAACACAGCCTCACGCAACAGCATAATTTCCTCATAATGCTGAGTGAAGGAAGCAAGCCCAGGTGCTGACACGCGAGCCCATTTCATCAAGCTCAAAAGGGACAGGCTGAACAGCCGGTGGTGTCACACGCGCAGTCGTACCGAAGTGACGTGTTTCGTTTTCTCAATCCTCACCAGAGCATTTGTTTTTATTGATTTTTTTTAATGTGGATGATTTTTTTGGCCTTTTATTATATAGGATTTTATTGGGGTGACATTAGTCTACATGAACACATAGGTTACATGTGTGGATTACTAATTTACAAAATCTGTATGTAGGACAGTATGCCCACCACTCAAAGTCGAATCTCCTGTCAGCGAGAGAGGAAGGGGTAGGGAGAGAGAAGCATGGATCGGTTGCTCCTGTCCTGGCCCCAACTGGGGATCAGACCCCACAGCCTAGGCATGTGCCCTGACTGGGAAGCAAACCCTTTGGTGTATAGGATGATGCTCCAACCAGCCGAGCCACCCAGCAAGGGCCGAAGTGACGTTTTTAAAGGCAAAGGACTGTGAGCACATTTGTGGGAGCAGCTGCCACTGTGGGGTCTTGGGGACAGGGGATGGCAGGACGTCAGGGACCGTGTGAATTGCGCCCTAGACGGTGGGCGTGTTACGTGGTGATAGCTGCCTGGTAGCGCACAGCTGATCAGCGTGCTTTTTCCGTTTCCCTGTCACGGCCTTCGGGCTCTCGCCCCCACCTGCGCCCACCTGGGCAGGAGAGGATATCATGCTGGGGAGGCTGCTCCGGGCCCAGGAGGGGGGCGCCGGCCCCACCGAGTACTCGGCCTTCCTGACGCGCTGCTTCGTCTGCCGCGTGCGCTGCCTGCTGGACAGCACCTCGGGCTTCCTGGTGAGTGAGTGGTGGGGGCTCCGGTGACGTTTGGGTGCCCTGTGTCCTGTGGCAGAAGGAACAGAGGGGGAAGTGAGGGGCTGGGGGTGACCTGCATGTGGTTCTCAGCAGGACTGAGGGATGACAGGTGGGTGAAGGAGAGTGAGCCTGAGACACCTGCTACACATAGAGGAGATGACTCAGTGACGTGTTAAAACTCTGCAGTAGGTCTCACACTGTACTGGGTTTTAATTTACGTTTAGTTGTACCTTTATTTCAAATTCATTTGCAAAGATTTTCCCAGGACACCCAACAAGCACCCAACCGAGACCACGTTCCTGCCAGGCCTTTTGGCTTAACCTCTTCTCTTGCAAATAGATACTGTGCTCCCACTTCTCATGTGTGACCATTTCCTCTCCCAGCTTCTCACTGAAGGGATGAAGGGAAGGGAGGAGACGTCCTCGTGGGGGCACAACAGAGCGGACCCCTGGCCCGTGCCACACCTCTGTCCACCTCCCAGACTGTGTTCCAGAACCTCTGTCGCTTCCCCTCCCCAGCCCAGTGCCCACACTCTCCTCGGGGTCACAGCCTCCCTAGAGGCCCAGCACCCCCATCCTTGGGCAGCAATTCAACACCAGACCCTCTGACCCCAGGGCCTTTCACCATCAGTGCTGCAGGGCAGGGCCCTGGGGCTCAGTCTCCAGCCCTGCCTGGGTGTGTACACTGCTGCCCCCGGCCACTGCACACCCTCCCAGCCCCACCTGGCCCCGTGCCCAAGAGGAGTTCGTCTCCCCCTTCTGGACTTTGGGCCCCTACCTGGGGTCCATGTCCCCACCTGGATTATAAGCCCCTCGAGGGTCCATCTCCGTACCTGGGCTGTGGCCCTGGGAGGCACGAACCCCTGGAGTTTGGTGTTTGGCAAAGCCCCGGAGTGTTGGTCCAGGGCTGGGCTGGGCTGGAGATTTCTAGCTGGTGCTCAGCGTGCATGTAGGAAGGGAAGACAGACAGAGGACGGTGGTGTGTCTGTGGATCGTCCTCTAAGTGGCTCTGGAAGAGGGAACCATCCCTGCAGACCAGCCCTCGGGCGCTACCTACCGGCTGGCCATGTCAGTGCCCATCTCACTGATCTTGTTTTGCACCAGCTTTTCCAGCTCAGAGCCCTTTGAGCCACCGCACACCCCCACCCCCATCCCAGCCCCAGACCTTCGGGAAATGCACACCAAAACCTCCCACATCAGAGCTGCCCAGCGGCCCTGGGCTGAGGGCCAGACCCCCTCAGGACTCGAGACCCTCGGCATCACTCACCTGGGCTATGGTCTCTGCAGGCAGGGCTCAGTGCAGAGGCCGCTACCAGCCCAGTGGCTGCGGTTCCATTAACCTTTTCCTGTTGGTTGGTTGTTTTGTTTCTGCATTAACAACTGTCTTAATAAAAACATTATTTGTGCACAATACAAATTCAGTCACTTTAGAACAGTAGAGAATGAAACAAATGTTCCTCCTTTGCATTTACCTGCTTCTCCGGATGTCACGGCCCCTACACATGTCCCTCCTGGGGTGTTTCCCCAGTTTCTTGCTCCCCTCCCCCCATACCCCTCCTTCTCTGCTCCACCCTGACCACTGAGGAAGCAGAGCTGCTGCTGGGTCTGGGAGACCCTCCCCTCAGGTCCCTGTGTCCTTCACGCTCACGTGTGAGGGTTGGCTTGCACACCCACACACCCGTGAGTGCACACACGAGAACATGCTTGTCAGTGAAAGGATGTTACAGAGACTCCAGAGCCACTGGGAACCACTCGGAGGCCTTGGGGTAGTTCCTGTCCCACGGAGGCCAGGCATGGAGAAACGCTGGTGCATGCCTCCTCGGTGACTGGGGATAAGGTTCTCGTCCGTGTTTCCATCCCTGGGAACGTCATTTCCACCTGCTTTGACCATGTTGCTAATCGCTCTGTGAACATGTTTCTGTCCTTAAAACATCAGACGATGCAGTTTCAAGGAAAACTGAAATTCCTGTTTGGCCAGAAGAGGAAGGCGCCGTCGGGAACAGCCCAGTCCCCTCGGCTCTCGCTGTTCTGCGTCGTGGTGCCCGTGCTCCTACCTTCTGTGGCAGAGATGAAAATGAAGGGTGCGTTTCTGCGGGCGAAGCACAGGGCAGACGGCTCCACCGCAATGGACACGAAGTGAGTAAGCCCCTCGGCAGCCACGCTCACCGCCGCTGGTGCTTAGAGCGGAGTGCCTGACACGTAGCTCTTTCTACATTTTCTCCATCTTCAGAAAGCGAGGAAGAGAGAGAAATGTGGTGTTTTTTTAAGCTAGCACATTATGGGAGCAACCATTAGAAAAATAGAAATGCTTTTGTGAACTGTGGCAGCAAACACCGCCTCCACCATTTGTCCCTAAATCCTCCAATTCCCGTCAATTCCCGACGGCCACCTGCACAGCTGTCCCTTTGGGGGGTGTGAGCGTCCACTCCTCCTCAGCACCCACGATTCACCTCTGATGTCTTCCATGACCATTTAGATCAGGGGCGGGGAGTCTTTTTTCTGCCAAAGGCCATTGAATATTTATAACATCATTCGCAGGCCATACAAAATTATCAACTTAAAAGTTAACCACTATATTTGGTCACACATTTAATTAACTCAACCCTAATGCCTTGGCAGGGCCAGACCGAATGAGTTCGCTGGCCTTATACGGCCCGTGGGCTGGACGCTCCCCACCAGCAGGGTGATTAGAAAATCTGACAGCAGACACGGTGATTGGAGCGCTCCCACTGTGTGCTCTGCTTTCTCGAGATGCTCATTCTCATGTCCACGCTCTGTGGTGTGGTCTGCCTCAGGGCTGCAGCTGGAGCCACTGCCTTCATGGCATGAGCCTCCATCTTGCTGCTGCTGGCCTCACGCGTCTGCACTGAAGGTGGCTTCCAGGAACACAGCCGTGGGCCTGGGGCTGCCCTCCGGGCCCCTGACACGGGCCAGTATGCTAAGACAGTAGTTTTGTGGAGTGGTTTTTAGTGACATATACATATGTCTTTTCACTTTTAAAGGTGTAATATGTCATGACACACAAGAGAGAGAAAACAGAATAGCCAATGAGACCAACTGTAAGTGTAAGTGATAAAGCAAGCTAAATCTGGAAGGTGTGCTGAAGGGCAAAGGTTATTGTCCAAAGACCAACCCACTGTGCAGAGCCCATTGCAAAGGACTTAATGTGCCTGGTGGGGGATGAGTCTGTCCACACCTGCTTTTTTAAAAATATTTTTAATTGATTTTACAGAGAGGAAGGAAGAGGGGTAGAGAGTTAGAAACATTGATCAGCTGCCTCCTGCACACCTCCTACTGGGGATGTGCCAGCAACCAAGGTGCATGCTCTTGACCGGAATTGAACCTGGGACCCTTCTGTCCGCAGACTGGCTCTGTATCCACTGAGCCAAACCAGTTAGGGCTCACACCTGCTTTCTTACCACCTGGACTAACACACTCATACTCTGAATTATTTTCCATCTTCATTTACTGTCTTCCAGTTTTCTGTGTTTTTAAGCTGTTGTGGCCTGATCATTATAATTGAAGCTGCACAGTGACTTTTCTGTTTTCCATATGTTTTTCCAACCCTACAAACAAGAGAGGAAAATTCTACCCTTCCCATCCTCTCCTAGAGGTCTGTGTGCAAGCTGGGCTTCTGCCGCCCCCTGGCGCCCATGTGGGGAAGCGCAGGCTGGCTGCACAGGTGCTATGAACGCATGGGGTTGCACACATGCCAGTTGAGTCATTATTAGGTATCATATTGTATAGAATTTCATGAAAACTCAGAATAGGGAAAGACAGAGGCCCTCAGAGAATGTTGGTTCTGTTCAACATTCTAAGAAAGGAGAGAACAACTGCCTTGAGCTTCCTGGGTTGTGAATTTCCAGCTGCTCTGAATGGAATTCCTAAACCAAGGTTTAGTTCAGGCGTCATGTTCGCTTCCCTCTGAGCTCAGAGATGGTGGAAGGTGCAAACTCAGAGAATCAGAGGCCCTGGGGGCTGCTCTGGAAATGTTTTGTTGTCCCTGCAGATGCTATTCAAGTTCTTCACAACTTTCCTGACAGGTTTGTGACACACCTTCATGCCTGATTGTACATGGATTCTGTATGTGTAAATCCATCTACTTGCTAACACTTATTTGTGCTCCAAAATCAATACCCATGGGCCTTTGCAGTCATTCATAGTCACGCACAGAGTGACAGATATTTGAGTCGTCAATGAACATGTTCCTACTGAGAGAGACATTTCACCTCTTCCTCTGCTCTCTCCTCTCCCTTCTCTTGTCTCTGTTCTCTTATCTCTGCTCTTAGCCTCTGCCTCTCACCCCTGTTCTCCCGTCTCTGTTCTTCTACAGAGATGACCAGGGGATGGAGAGGTGGGGCAGGGGACAGCAGGGCAGGAGGCTTTGGCTCTGGGGCCAGCCAGGTGGACTGGATTTGAATCCCACTCCTGCCCCTGCTAGAGGGATGGCCTTGGGCAAGTCACTTAACACTTCTGAGCCTATATTTTTCTTTATTTAAAAAAATATGTTTATTGATTTCAGAGAGGAAGGGAGAGGGAGAGAGAGACAGCAACATCAATGATGAAAGAGAATCATTGATGGGTTGCCTCCTGCACACCTTCCATTAGGGGTCGAGCCCAAAACCCAGGCATGTGCCCGGACCAGGAATCAAGCTGGGACCTCCTGGTTCATAGGTCAATGCTCATCCACCGAGCCACACCCACCAGGGACCTGTATTTTTTTGGGGGAAAATTAATTTTAAAAAAGAATCTAGCAGAATGCATTTCCTCAGGCTTAAGATTCTGCCTAAGCTCTGTGACGGGTGTGTGTATGCGTGTGCATGTGCGTGTATGTGTACGTGTGTGTGCGCGTGCTCAGGGACGATGGCTCAGTGTTCACTAATTTAGTAGTTCACGGTGGCTGTGTAGAGCAGGGGTAGGGAACGTCCAGCCCACAGGCTGTATGAGGCCCGAAACATCATTTGGTCGGGCCCAGCCAAGGCATTAGGGGTGAGGTAATTAAATGTTTGACCAAATAGAGCAGGCTAATGTTTAAGTTAATAATTTTGTGTGGCCCATGAATGATGTTATAAATATCTAAATGGCCCTTGGCAGAGAAAGGTTCCCCACCTCTGGTGTAGAGCGTAACTAGTGTAAATGACAAGAATTTACTGTATTTTCACTCTGGCCATCCAGAATACAGTAAAGGCACTGAAAAATCATCCAGTGTGCAGGTCTACTTTCTGAAGCAAATCCATTAGGCCTTTATTGGCCTGAACAGTGACATGAATTGGAATTTTTAGCAAATCTCTCGCTGAGAAAGACTTTAATATCTATACAAAGTTAAAAAGTATGAGTCAAGTTAAAAAGTGTCTCCCCCTCCTAGCCATAACTGTAATGCCTGTCATGTTTTTAACTTCCACCGTCAGCACATGTCATCTGCATATTATTTTGCTATTATCTGTTCTCTGCAGAGCAAAAGCCACCAGGAGTCTGTGTGTACCAGAATTGCACGGGAAACCCAATTACTTAGCAGGTACTTTTAAAAGATCACTATGTTACCCTTTTTATTTTTTTTAAATATGTTTTTATTGATTTCAGAGAGGAAGGGAGAGGGAGAGAGAGAGAGATAGAAACATCAATGATGAGAGAGAATCATTGATCGGCTGCCTCCTGCACATCCCACACTGGGGACCAAGCCTACCACCTGGGCATGTGCCCTGACCAGGAATTGAACCGTGACTTCCTGGTTCTTAGGTCGATGCTCAACCACTGAGCCATGCTGGCTGGGAAACCGTCACTTTTTTTAAATGGGTAAAAGGTGTCAGTGTCCCTTGGAGGGCTCCCCCCACTCCCGGGGCTGGGCGACGGCCAGTTCCCGGGGGCGCGGGTCTGCGCAGCTCTGAGGGGCTCCAGGAGCCGTGTCCACAGAGAGCAAAGCCGCCCTTCGGGCCCAGGTGCTGCCAGGGCACCCCTGACGCCGTTCCCTTCTCTGCATCCCGACAGGAAGAAACAGTGGAGAAAACGGCATTTCTGTGTTCAGGGCACAGATGGACGCCTGCCGCTGGGCCCGGGTTCCCGCCAGGGCCACGTGCCTGTGCCTGCGAGGTGGCCCCGACCTCGTCCTGTACCCCGAGGGGGCCGCCGGGTAAGTGGTGCCTCTGCCCAGCCCAGCACCTCCCGCAGTCACAGCCGGGTGTCAAGAAAGAAAAGAGCGACTGGTGGCCTTGACCATGATGGCTAAACCTTGCCCTTAGTTGAACATGCAGATACACACGGAACACAGACATGTCCCAGACATGCTTCTCGCCCTGTAAGTCGTCATTACACGCCTGGGGACTGGCTGGAGACGGGGACAGGACTTCCGTGGGGGCTGTAGGACCTTTGGGCCACCCTCGCCTGGAGCTGGACCCTGGGTGGCTGCCTCGTCCTCTGCCCTCCCCTTTGCGTGGAAACCCTCTGCAGCCCCCCCAGCCCCCACCCCTTCCCTGACACGGCTCTCCTCTTGGAGGCCTGCACTGCTGTGTGGTCGCAGGACCACCTCGCCCTCCCAGCACCACCTCCCATCACCACAGGTGATGCCACACCGTGCAATGTACATGACAGGACCTGGCACCCAGAAACCACCCAGAACCCCCTCTCCCAGCGTTAGTAGCTACTTCACACGTGGCCGGTGCCTCATGGAGATGCTGCTCCCTGCACCCCTCCCCCACCCTACCCCATCCCACCCCAGCCTCAGAGTCCCCCCTGGCGCCCTGGCGGTGGGAGGGTCTTGCACAGGAAGGGGGGGGGTGCTAACACTGGCTCATGGGCTGCAGGGTTGAGAGCCGCAGGGTAGTGAGGGCGTAGAGTGGCCCTCACAGTCCGTCAGTGCCACCCTAATTTAGAGCCCTCCCTCTCTCGGCCCTGCTGTCTGATGGCCGTCTCTCCACAGGGACTGGGGAGGTGAGGAGCATGGGAGGGTGCCCAGCGGCGGCTCCGGGGTCAGGAGGAGGAGGGAAGCACACGCTTACGACTGCTGCTTCGAGACGCCAGGACCCACAAGGCAACTGAGCTGGACGGCAGGCCAACACGGTCAGGACGGCCCCAAGCCAAAGCTGGAGCCTGGCAGGAGTGACCCGTTCCCTGTGCATGCCACCTCCCGGGGCTCCTGCGTGCCCTACCCCAGCGCCCCGGGCACCGTCCCTGCCTTCCGGAATTCCCCTGGCGCTCACCAGGCCCCCAGTGCCTATGCCAGCCGGCCGAGCAGAGCCTTGCAGGATGGCGAGCAGGGCCCGGTCCACTCTCCCGCCAGCGGCCCCTTCCCCCTGGGGAGCCTGGAGAACCAGGTCCCTCAGCCGGGAGTGCAGTGCCTCACAGTGGGGGGCTATGCCGCCCAGGACATCAAGTTGCCAGGTGTGCCCATGCCCCCGGAGGCCCCGTGCAACCCCATGTTGTCACTTAACGTGCCCATCAAGATGGAAAGTGACTCTGGGTCCGAGGATGCAGCAGATGGCTACTCTGTGTCGCCCAGCCAGGTGTGGCTGGGAGCCAGCGACGTGGCTAAGAGACAGCTGGTCACTTTCCCTACCAGGATGCACCTGAAAACAGAGCCAGACTCCAAGCACCACCTGTATGCCCCACACCTGGGGCCTGGCATGCTGGGGGCTCCCCCCAGGCCTGGCAGGGAGCTGGCCCCCTTCCACCCCGCACACTTTGTCTGCCTGGAGCGTGGGCACGGCCCTCCTGAGCCAGAGCCTCCCCCCTGCCTCTGTGTGCGGGGCCACCGGCCCCCCACTCTGGGCTGTGACTGCAGAGCTCCAGGGACCGCACCCATGATCAAACTTGAGCCCTTGGACTCACCCCCATGGGCCGCTCACAGCCAGGATGGGGCGCCCAGGATGCTCCCCAAAAGTGCCTTGGCGACACTGGTGCCGCCCAAAGCCTCCGAGTGCTCTTTTCTGCCATAAGCCGGGCGTTTGTTCAGTGGCATCTGCCCCCCTCCGATTGTCAGCTGGGATGGCAGGTGCAGGCCAGAGCCCCTCTTCAGGGGCGCTCTGCAAGTGGCACAGGTTCAGTCCTCTGTTATCTGGTGCAGATGGAGAGTGTGTTCTGTGTTTTGTAAAATATCACCAAAGTTCTTAAATGCAAAGTGGTCTTAAGTCTGTTCAAGTATGACAGTATTTCTCTCCGAGGGGCTAAGTTTTTCAGGAACCGGCCACAGTGAGGCATGTGGGCCAGGTGGGGCTTACTCCAGGCTCGGGAGGTGGCAGCAGGCTCGGGTCTGACTGGCAGTCCCCGGGGCATGAAAGCTGTGACGTTCCCTGCGGCCCCACACCTGCCTCCAGCTCCCCATCCGTTCAGAGTGCAGCCAGACAGGCCCTTGGGGCTGGAACTCGCTCAGCGGCAGGTGACCATGCCCCATTCCTGGCAGGAATCTAGGGAGTTCCAGGCAGAAGGCACTGGAAGCATCAGGTCCTATGGCATGTGCTCTGCGACCCGCATGGAGTTGGAGGCCAAACTGGAGTGGAGATTCACGGGGTGATGTCCAGTTCCTTCTAGAAGTCTCTCTGGGGCTTTGAATAGGCCTCTGAAGATGGTTTACGCTCACCTGTCTCTTGGTGCGGCATGTAACCTAGAGTTCCCGGAGTCTGGGTTTGGAGGTAGAGAGAAGTTGAAAACGTGGAGAAAAGAAACAGGAGAGTGCATTGTCCCGTTGTCTTGCTGACTGTCCACAGTTTTTCAAATGAGGACTCCAATCACCATCCCACGAAGAGTTGTTAGAGAAATGCCAGGCAGGTAACTTCTTTCATTGGAAGGGTAATACGTTCTGATTGCAGGAAATTTGGATACAAAGCGTAAGTCCAAAAGTGAAGGTGACCCTCAGTCCCCACCCAGAGATGGCTTGTAGCCGATGGCAAAGTTCCAGGGGAACCTAGGGCATCCCATCGGGGTCTGAAAGCCAGCAGGCAGGAGGAGGCCACAGCAGGGAGGCCCCGGATCTGGGGTCTGCCCGTGGCCCTGCCTGTTCAGGACAAGGACACCTATCTTTTTTGAAAAAAAAATATATTTCATTGATTTTTTACAGAGAGGAAGGGAGAGAGATAGAGAGTTAGAAACATCGATGAGAGAGAAACATCAATCAGCTGCTTCCTGCACATCTCCTACTGGGGATGTGCCCACAACCAAGGTACATGCCCTTGACCGGAATCGAACCTGGGACCTTTCAGTCCGCAGGCCGACGCTCTATCCACTGAGCCAAACCGGTTTCGGCTAGGAC